GTATAATGTTTCAAGGAAGATTTGTTAGTTTTTCTGAAAAGGTAGAATGAGCTTAAATGTCAGACTTAAAAAGGCTATAAAGATAGTAGCGAATCATGTTGTTGAGAAGATAAATCCTATCTCCTTTTTTAATTCTTTAAAATTAGCCTTTTCGTCGAAAGTGATTGTGGCTTTTTGCTAAAGGTTTTTCATTTCCATAGTAAAATGAACGATGTTGCCAAATTTGAAAAATAATTTACGTAATCTTGTTTCTGTAGCATCTATTTGATAGAACGGGTACGTAAGGGGCAGATTTTTTGATGTCTAAAGATTGGAACGTGATATCTTCCATATTGGGAGATTTGTATTTGCAAAATTCGTCACGTTCAACTTTGTCTAAAAAGGCAACTTTAATAATAGCCTGATTGTGATTGATAGGATGCTTTCCTTTTGTGATAATGATAAATGAGTTGTACTTGTTATAGCACAAATCGGTGATCTTTGAGATCTTTATTTGAGGGTTCGGACTACAGAGTTTATCCATTTGAATATACGCGAAAAATTTGGTGACTTGAGTCGAGAGAACATCAAAGCCAATAGTTGAAGTATTTAAGATATTTTCTGATGTATCAAAGGACTCGTCAATACTAACAGTTAATTTAGGCGCAGTAGTTTCAGAAGTTGAGGTTGAAGTAATAACTACAGGACCCTTTTTTTTATCGAGGTTGTTGGATGAACTTTCTTTGAGTGGGTCAATTTCCATAGAGCTGGTTTCTACTGGAAGGACAATTGGAATGGGTCCTGTTACATATGTAAGAGAAGGATCATTGTCTAAAGTTTGTTGTGTATTTTGTTTCTTTTTTGGTAACTTATCAGATATTGGTGATGCAAAGCGACCGCGGTTTGTATTCTTCCTTTCAGTTTTTTTTGGCATTTTTTGAAAATTGTTGGAAAGGCAGAAAGATACCTCCTAAAAAGAATAAAATAAACATTTTTTTTTCTTTTTAAAGTGCGGTAGTTTCGCAATATCTTTATTATGAGAGTAAAATAAAAATA